ACAAGTCCGGTTTTAACAAACTTGGCCTAATCGTTCACACACGCTCAGCAAGAATAACGACCGATCACACAGATCTCTTCGAATCGGCTTGGCTGGAACTTTGATGAGGAGTCCCTAGGTTGAACTTTTAGTAGCCTCTCCAGGCCAGGAGCCAAGCCGAGGACTTGCCCTCCGACGTGCCTGCCGTGCCCGTCGATTTGGCCAGATTCCTCTTCACGGGGTCCCCAGGGCATCCCGAGGTTCCCGCACCTGCCAGGACTTGACGTCGTTCTTCCCTCACCTCGCGAGGCGGCTGGGAACTCCGTAAGCGAGGTACGAGGCCAAGGTTTCCGAGGGGTAGTTCTACGGCTCCGGGTTCCGTAAAGGCAGCCTTAGTCCCGGAGAGCCGTCTGCTCCTAGCTGAGGCTGTATGGGTCTCTCAGATACGACCTCCCAGTCAAAGCCTTGGTAAAACATCCAATGTCTCCCACGGTCTCCTGTTACAAGGAGAACAGGTTCCATCGAACTCACGCGAATGGCTACGATTGCCACCGAAGAAAGAACACTTACCGAGGCCTTTTGAAACTTTGAGGGCTCGGACGGAGAGAAAAGGGCAACGCTTCCGTCTGTTCACACGTGAATCCTTTATCGCGTCTCCGTAAGTCACAGACCTCTTGAGAGACAGTTTCCTTAACCTGGAGGAGTCCTCATCAGAAAACCAGCCATGTTTCAAACAAGAACCACAGAACCACAAGCATCCTTTTGCACATGCCTCCATCCAGTCGTCGACGACCTCGCACACTGTCCTACTCGGAAAAGACCTAGATGTCCGGTGAATTTAATCCCAGTCATCATCCAAGCAGAACTTCCAAGTCTCGAGTTCCCAAAGACCACGGAAGAAGCTCTCTCAACAGCCGCCCGCAAACGCCCGCGGACGGACGGACGTGAGGTGAGGTGAACCATCACGTTCACGTCATCTCTTTGCTCACAAACTGCAACAGAGACCACAGGAGCTGGTCTGACCTTCAGCGGACCTCGATACAGTAAGAGTTTCACGTTTCCGGCTGGTCACTGAAAAGACATGTCGATCTTCATGGAACCCACAAACTCAACGGTGTTTAGTTTGTGTTAGAATTTAGTTAGAATTCAACTGTGTTGAATTCCAGGGGCTCCTGGGTGGCTCGGTGGGTTAAAGCCTCTACCTTCAGCTCAGGTCATGATTGCATCAGGTTCCTCCCCAGGGGCAGCTTCTACCCCAGACGCTGGCCGGTTGGCCGGCTGGCGGGGAGATCAGGAGCATCTGGAGCAGGCGGGGTCGGGGTGGAGGTGGGGGTGGGCGCTCTCCTTTGCTCCCTAACAGCGAGGGGAGGAGGAGCCAGCCCTGGTAGGACGAGGGCCATGCAGAAGCCAGTCAGGCCCGCCACACCCAAGGAGTCTCCAGCAGGAGTCTCCGGCAGGAGTCTCCGGCAGGAGCGAGGAGACAGGAGAGGCAGACGGCCGCCAGAGGGCAGAAGAAAGGGTTCCCGGTTCCAGAGCTCATGGGCCCCAACAGAGGAGCGGATGCCGTGTTCTCCCGCCAACGAGGGGGACTAGGCAGTCCCCGCCGGGCCAGCGAAGACGGAGAGTCTCCCCGAAGCAAGTTTCGGCGGCTGCTCCGGAACATTCCTTCCGGCCCCCGGCCCGAGGGAGACCAACCGCCGTTGGCTCCAGTTACAGCCGATAACCCGGGAAATGAGCGAGGGAGAAGTCTAGTCCCCACATCTACGAGGAGGAGGAGGAACAGTGAGAGACGAGAATCCCCTTTGCTGGGGGGGCGGGGGGCCCGCTATGTTTCCTCCAGCCGCCTGGCTTTATCCGGAGGCGGCCTGGCTAGGTAATTATCATCCAGTAGGGCAGGAGGGGAGGGAGTTTTGCCAGCCGACTCCTTCAGGCGAACACATTCCCCAAAAGGCCCTTAGGTCGGGGGTCCTGGTGTAGAGCCGTGAAGGTCCCCTAGGTCCATCTGACCCATTTCCCGCCGAGGACATCGAACCGATGGATCCCACCCAACCCATGCAGTGTTACGGGGGCTCAGTCCTTCCCTAAGTTTTGCAATCCCAATGGTTTCCGGTGGGTTGAAAGGCACCCCAGGGGAGAGTCCTTGGGAACTGAAGACACGAGAAGGTCCATCGCCTAGATGATCCGCACCCCCACGCAACCCGACTGCCGGGCACCGTCCCACGCAGGATAGATTCGAGGTCCCTGGTGTCAGAGCGACCCGGGGCGTCCCCCGAAAGATCAAATCGCTGTGACCGCCGCCGCTAAGGGCCCCTGGAGGAGGGAGGCTACCGTACCCCCCCGCGCCCCCACCGCATCCTAGGCTACAGACGGGCGCCCGGCGTGGGGACCGAAACACCGGGCCTCGAAGGTCCTGCCGTGAAGGTCACGCCTTACTTTTACCCTGTCTTGAAGAACTCGCTGTCTTTAACCCATGGAGAACGCCGGAAGAGTTGTACAGGAGGAAATTACCGAATTCTGTAGCTTACGGAGTTCGTCGAGGACACTGAAGGAAAACAGTAAAGACAGACATCCACCGGGACCTAAGCGACACGCCAACCCGGCCGGTCCTAACAGGGAACTAACTGCCCGAGGAAAGAGTCCCCGGGAGGGTTGCACGCCATCGCGTACTGGTTTCCGTCGCAAGCGGCCGGACCGGGGATGTGACCGGGATCGCCTCAGATCCATCAGGAGGAAACCTCCCACGGGAGTCTTAAGATGGCAGCCGTCCCGGTGACTGAGGTGGCCGTCCCGTGCCCAGGACAGACCACGTTGCATAAGGACAGCAGTAGAGAGGGCATCAAGTTTCTGGGCCAGGAAGACCCGCCTCCTTGCGGAGCCCCCGAAAGGAGAGCAAAGGGAAGAGAGGAGAAAGTCCTCACCAAGTCTGCACCGCGGCTGAGTCCGCGTGAGCCTCGGGACTCCAAGCCGCCCGTGCGGGCGCCTCAGGGTGGAGGAAAGAGGGTGAGCCTTCGAAGCCCAGGGCCGAGGAGGAGTCCTTGAGATGTCTTGGGTGCCGAAAGGTGACTCTGTGAAAGCGCGGGCACGGGGCCCCTGGGCAGAACGAGCCGAGCCACGCTGGGGTCCCGGGGAGCGGCCCCTTGCATACTTCCAAGTTGGGAGGGGGTCAGGGAGAGCGTTAAGTCTCGAAGGGATTTCGGAAGCCGGGTTCCCAGGACCTCGAGGGGGCTGAGCTGTCGTTGGGAAAAGGTCGTTTATCACTGTCGCATAAAACCGCGGTCATGAGGCCCTTCCGAGGTACGGAACAAGAAAGAGAGAAAACTCTTGCTTCTTCGACAGAAAACTCATTCCATATTGCAGTTACCACAGGGGTCCTCCGGTGGACCCTCTTAACAACGTGTCAACACCATCCAGCCAAAGACCACCAGGAACACACCCGTCGCGAGACCAACCCGGCCATCGCTTGTTGCGAAAGTGAGAGGGGACGCGCTTCGGGGCGAGGGTGTCCGGAACGGCTTAGCACGGACGGGATGTGAGCCCGCGGGACGCTGTACGGCAGGGACGGGAAGGGCAGCCGCGTTTGCTGACCTCCCCCCCGCCCCGCACCCCAATACGCCACTTTAGAAGACAAGACACAGAGATTGTTTTTGAGCTGAAACAGACAGAAGGAAGAACTCTGCCGTCTTCCCACCTGCCTCAAAGCGGGACGTGAATGTGTACAGAATCGAACCACTGACAACCCCGGCTCCTTCTTGGCCCGGGAGACTGGACCCAGAGGACTCTACCTAACAGACTCTACCGGCAGGCCCTTATCTTCCGCGATCCCCCCCGCCCCCACCCCTTATATTTACCTTCCTACCGATCGCCCCCCTAGACACTCTAAGCCCTTCTACTCTGTCTTGTCACTTCTCTGAAAATTTATTGTTTCTTTCTCTCTCTCTTTTTTTTCCTGTTCGTTTTGGGTTACGGGACTATATGAGGCCAAGTTCTAGCCACCCCACAGAGTTCCTCAGCCCTCTGCTTCTCCCGTGTGTTTGTGAGATATACGCACGAATCCACTTCGGTTTGCTTTTCTCTGGTGAATCTGTCTTTGGTCACAAAGCCCCAGCCACCCCCACCCCCACCCCACCACCCCGCCCCAAGAACCTTGAAGGGGAGAAGGGAAAAGATCTCCCGCTGCCCCACAGATGCTTTCGGGCAGTCAGGGGAATTCAGTGATTGGGAAGCTGAATAAATCTTACCCAGGAGAAAGGAAAACCAGAGCGCAGCCAAAGCTGCCTGTCGGTCCTGCAGCAGTTACTCCCGTTAGCCAGGGTACGGGGACGTGTTTGGTCCTTTCTGTTGTTCGGACAACGTTCTTGTTTGTTGTCTCCTTTCCCACGTGACCCACCACCGGGTGGGCCTCCCTCCCGTCTTGACTCACCACGGTCCCGGAGCGGCCAGGCCCCACGCTGATGTCGCAAAGGAAGGACCTCTCGCTGACGCTGGACTCGGGAAGGCCTGGAAGGGGAGCTCTCAAGCCCACACCACTCCTGCCTAACCAGCAGGAAGAAGGAAGATGAACATTATTCTGACAAGGGAGAACCTTCTGGAGCACGGAAGGCCATCGCCTGCCTGTAAGGAAAAGGAGGCTAGAGCCCCTCTTGCCCCAGCAGCAAGGCACTAACCACCGCCCGCCTTTGAATGGGAAACCGCCACAACCTCAAAGTCTCGCTCTTCTCCCGTGAACTTGTGTTCAAAGCAAGCCTCCCCAATGTCCTCCGTGAATCGAAATTGAAGCTGACTTTCCAGTGACGGAAGGAAGGAAGGAAGGAAAAAAGGAAGGAAGGAAGGGAGGAAAAAAAGGAAGGAAGGAAGGAAAAAAAAAACAAACAAAGCAAAAAACCTGACCTCCCCTTTGCCTCTTCAGACTTGCTGGTGGCTCCCCGTAGCTTGCACGTCCCTGACTGTGATGCCTCCGCCATCCCCGAACAGACTCTTCTGGCCAGTAAAATCACTGGCTGTTCTCTTTCTAAGGCGGCCGCCCTCGCGGGAAACTGTCCACGGCCAACGGGAGACCACCCCGGCCTAGCCGTGAGCAGCGGGGCCAGCTTCCGCGGCCGCTTTTCCTTCTCTCAAAACCGAAGACACGCCGCGGGGTCTCAGCGACCTTACCTTCCCTGCGTCTCGACACCGTCTCTGCTGGGTCGTCAGCCCAGGCGTTACTTCTGCCTGCCTGCCTGCCCTTATTCCTCCCTCCGCGGCTAGGACCAAACCGTCTACAAGGACCTGGAAATGGAGGAATGAAGGAATCTCCCAGAGGGGAGAGCGCTGCAGCGGTCTCGGAACACGTCGTGCCGCGGCACCCACCGTCCTCCCCTTTTCTCCTTGCCGTAACAAAGAAGTACCCAGTCCTCCTTCCTGAAGGCAGACCCCCCAGAATGGGAGACACCATCCCCGCGGGCTCCACGTTGCCTCTGTGGAATGCAGTCGAGAACACGGCCAGAGGAACCCGAGTCGGTGAGACCCATTCGCGGAGGGACACCTCCCATCGCAGGTCTGCAAATGACGATATTCCCCGATGAACGTTCTCTGACTCCCGAATCTGCAGTTCGGCAAGGGTCACCAAAAAATGTCTTCGACTGTTACATTTTGACAAGGCAAGCGCCAAGAAGAACCGGAAGGAGTGGTGAGCCAGACCTGCTGGGGACGGGTCGGAGGTCCGGACGCAGTATCCCACAGGCCGGCCGGGTGGGACAGCCGATGAGCGGTCACCCTGGCAGATCGCTGGGAGCGTGTCCCAGGATGCAGGTATTTAGACGTGGAGAACCTGGAAAGGACGAAACAACGGTTGGAACATGTAGGGGTGCTACGTTTCCATTCCCACCGTTTCCCACGATGCTCTATTTTTACCTTTCCTCTAAGGGCCTCTGGACGGCCGGTAGCAAACGTTGACGGTGCCTAGTTTTCCCTGGCCTGCGGAGGGAGAGCTGGGGCGAGCCCCATGAGCCCGGTGGGGACGCTTTCTGCCAGCTACGTTCCGAGGCACAGGTGGCACCAAGGATGTGGTAAGGGGACAGAGGGTACCTGCAGGGAAATTAATCTCTGTCAGGAGGGATGGGAGGACATTGGGGAATTGGGGGTGTGTGGCTGGGCGTGAAGGGACGCGGAAAGGTGGTACCGAAGGGCGGAGGGAGGTCGGGGGAGGGAAGAAGGGGATGGGCGAGTGTGATAAGGGATGTGGACACGGAGGTAGCCATTCATTGGTCATTGACCAGGTCAAGGGTGGGAGAACTCTGACAGAGGCCAGGCAGCCAGGCGAACGACATTGGGGCTGTTGAGATCACTGGGAAGGACACGAGTGTGTCAGGCAGATGACAGGAGCAAGAAAAGGTAGCGGGCTGTAAGAGACAATAATAAAAAGCCGCGCATAAAAGAAGCAATGAAAGACCTAAAATGAGGCTGGAGAAAAAGACCAGAGAGAAGTTACGAAAGAAAACCAAAACAAGAAAAGGGGCAAAAAAGTCACTTTTATACCCCAGTAGCCTAGAACGGAACAAAAATCATAGCTAAGAAAAAAGAAAAAGGAACAAACAAACAAAGCCAACCGAACACCAAAAAAAGAACAAACAAATGAAAAGCCAAAAAAACCTACCATACCAAACACCTCTTTCGTTCACCATTTTCGTGGGGAAGGTGCACCGCTCCTGGAAGTACTGCAATACCAGGTCGATGCGTGGAGTGGACGGAGCAAGCTCCTATTCCAACCTCCCTGCTCCAAAAATCCATTTAATATATTGTCCTCGGATAGAGGACGTATCAGATATTAAACTGATAAGAACAGATACTACACTTGATCTTAGCCAAAAGGCCGAGAAGCGATACCTCCACGCCGCCCCCGCCCGGCCACCGTCCTCCCATCTGCCATATTCAACTCACGGTGACAGCCCAGACCCTCACTCCTCGCCTGACTGCCTCTGCGCCGTCCACGGTCCCACCCACATCACCAGACGCTTTTGGGCAGAGGCTTCCTTCTCCTCCCTCCCAACCAGAAATCCCGTATCCCTGGCGGCCGCGGCCCTCCCTCGCCCAGCAGCCTCTCCGAATCTGCATGGCCCGCCTTCGGCTCCCCGAGGAGGCGAGGCCGCCGCGGCCGGGCTCCGCCCTCCCGTCCGCCTCCGCGAGCCGCGAGCCGCGAGCCGCAACCCCGCCGCGCGCGCGTCCCGCGCCGAGACGCGCGGCGAGGGGCGGCGGCCGCGGAGGGACGGCTGACGCGGCCGCCGCTCTGGGGGCTCCCGGGAGCTCGTGAAGGCCAGACCTTACTTTGGGTCCCTTTTCGCCGCCCCGCCCCCAGCACGGACCGCGTACTCCACCCGCGGTTCCGTGCCTGAGGTCTTGCCTCCCGCACGCTCAGCCGCTGCCCGGCGCGTCGCGACGGCGACGGCTCTCCAGCCAGCACCCCGACCCCCTCCCCGCTCGCCACTGCTCCGCTCGCGTCCGTGTCCTCCGGCCAGGGCCCAGGCCGGTTCTGACCCCAGAACGGGATGTCCCGGATGACACCCGTGCAACGGAACAATTCCCGCTGCCTCGGCGTCACTGCGGCCCGCCGACTTTGCTCGGAGCGACACGCACGGACCCCAGTACCTGCCAACTGCGCTCTGCGGAGGCCGGCCCCGTGCCCCGGTGCCCTCGCCGTGCGTGCGGCGGCGGCGGCGTCGTGGTCCCCGCCACTCTCGCCGCGAGAGTGCCTAGAATTCCGGCGGACCTTCTCGGGCACCACCTCCCTCCCCAGGCTCGCCAGCAACTCCGCGTGGCCACGGAGTTCGGATGGCTGGCGGGGGCGGGGGGCGCGAGGGGACGACCTTTCCTTGTGGGTGGTGAAAATGGTACCCCGGCGCCGTTTGGATGTGCGCCTCTCCAGTCGGGCCGAAGAGTCTTCTCCTGGGTGTGAGCGCCACGTTGCTGTGCTCTCGGAACGCTCGGTTCAGGCCCTTTGGCCCCTTTCTGGCTAGGTGAATTGGTGGCGCTTGGATCTGTCATTTACATATTAAGGGGGCTGGCCCTCCGTCTGTCCTCTAAGCCTTGAATATTTCCTTCTGTGGGAGAGCGGTCTTTGGGCCTCGCTGATGATTCCAGGTGCTTAAGGTGCCACGGAAAGTTAGGGGGGGGGGGGGGGGGGGGGGGGAGCGGCTTTGATCTCCCGGTCCTGGGTTCGAGCCCCACGCTGTGAGTAGAGATTGCTAAATAAAGACACTTACAAAAAGTCGTTATTCAGATCATGCTCTTCATCCGTTTACTTTTTTAATTTTTTATTTTTAAAGATTTTATTTATTTATTTGACACAGAGATCACAAGTAGGCAGAGAGGCAGGCAGAGAGAGGAGGAAGCAGGCTCCCTGCTGAGCAGAGAGCCCGATGCAGGGATGCAGGGCTTGATCCCAGGACCCTGAGACCATGACCCGAGCTGAAGGCAGAGGCTTTAACCCACTGAGCCACCCAGGCGCCCCTTCATCCGTTTTTTTAAAGAAAAGTGTTTGGATGTTGAGTGCAAGTTAGAAAGGACTTCACCATGACCTTAAAAATAATTCCCTCAATCCTCCCTCGGGTCTTTTTCTTCTTCCTTCTCAACAGCTAAATCTTTAGCCCTTTGGTGTCTGCTCTGCAGAACAGTGTAAGCCAGTGAATTTTTCCTTCACAACTTTGAGATGACCCCTTGGATCCTAAAGGGCACCGCGCGTATATTTTTGTAACATTCCTGGTTATTTCCTCTCTTTCCGTTTTTGTTTTTCTTTTTAAGATTTTATTTATTTATTTGACAGAGAGATCACAAGTAGGCAGAGAGGCAGACTTAGAGGCAGGCAGGGGGAAGGGGGAAGCAGGCCCCCCACAGAGCAGAGAGCCCAACCTGGGGCTTGATTCCAGGACACCGAGATCATGACCCAAGCCTAAGCAGAGGCTCAACCCACTAGGCCACCCAGGCGCCCTGTTTTTTTCTTTCTTTTTCTTTTCTTTTCTTTCTTTCTTCCCTTCTTAGTATCTTTTTTTTTTTTAATTTTTAAAAGATTTTATTCATTTATTTCACAGAGAGAGAGAGAGCAAGCACAAGCAGGGGTAGCTGCAGGCAGAGGGAGGGGGAGAAGCAGGTTCTCCACTGAGCAGAGAAAGCCGATGCGGGGCTCGTTCCCCGGACCCTGGGATCATGAACCGAGTTCAGGTAAGCTCTCAGGTGCTCTACTGACCAAGCCAGCCAGCCACCACCACCACCCCTTGGATTTTTCTTTAAAAAGTGCAGAACAGGGGGCACCTGGGTGGCTCAGTCGGTTTAGTGTGGGACTCTTGATTTTATTAACTCAGACCTTGATCTCAGGGTCCTGAGATGGAGCCCCACCCTGGGCTCTGTGCTCATCGCGGGTCTGCTTGAGATCCTCTCCCTCTGCCTCTCTCCTTACTCACGTGTGCATATGTGCTCTCTCTCTCTCAAATAAAAAACAAAATCTAAAAAAACAGAACAGAACAAACAAACCAGAGCAGAGGTTCTTGTCTGGCCATCAGTAGAGCATGCGACTTTTTTTTTTTTTTTAAAGATTTCATTTATTTATTTGTCAGAGAGAGAGAGAGAGAGAGAGCGAGCGCCAGTGGGAGAACACAAGCAGGCAGAGCTGCAGGCCGAGGCAGAGGCAGAGAGAGAAGCAGGCTCCCCACTGAGCAAGGAGCCCGATGCGGGACTCGATCCCAGGACCCAGGGATCATGACCTGAGCTGAAGGCAGCGGCTTAACCAACTGAGCCACCCAGGCGTCCCGAGCATGGGACTCTTGATCTCAGGGTCATGAGTTCAAGCCCTACATTGGGGCAAGAGCTTAATTTAAAAAAGAAGAACAACAACAACAACACAGAGACCTGACCACCTTCAATTCTCCGAGTCCATGGGATTGACCCATGGTGTCCATGCAGATGATGGCTGGGCACCCATCAGGGAGCCCAGCACTGAGAAGGGACTGTGATCTCATTCCTGCCCTCTAGGCATTCATGGTGAGGGGGGTGCGGGGGGGCTGCCGGGTCACTTGTATGCAGACTCCTTCTCAAGAGAATGGATGCCCCTTCGTGGAGCAGCAGGCACTATAGTGTGGACGGCCCCTCGGACAGAGCAGGGCGCCCGGGGATAAACCTCTTGTCTTTTCTTACCTGGGGAAACGGTTCTACCCAGCAGGTTATAACTGCCAGCCACTGGGCTGGGGTCCGGGTCCCAGTGCATGAGACTCTAGGCCTCCTGCCATCACCACGGGCTCCGGCTCAACCAACAGACCTTTACCACTTGCGACACCACCAACCAGGGCATTGCTTGGTCCTGGGAGTAGAGAGAAGCCAGATGCCCTTCCTTTCTCCTCCCCGACCCCAAGCAGCGATCATCTGGCTCAGGACCCGGATAAGACATTTGCCCAAATGTCCAGAACCCCAGGTTTCCATGCACAGGGGACTGTGAGAGATGAACACATGCTTGTGGCTCCCACCTGGCCACGACCCCCTTGAGGCCCAAGGCCTCTCCCATGGAGCTGGGTGTCCCTAACAGGAGCCCGCGATGCCTAGTCAATAAATGAGAAGGTGCGGTGGAACACAAAGCCCGCTGAAGCAGGAAGGGCTGCCTGACACCTCAGGGGGGCTTAAAGGCAGAATTTCAGGGCACGTCGACAGGAGGGGGGAACCGGGACATTGCAGTCTGAGGCAAGAGTGGCTGGGGGGTGCTGCTGCCCTCGGAACAATTTGTTACTTAAACTGTAAGCCCTGGAGGATTTTACTAGTTGCCAAGCACATTTAGATATGGCCTTAAGAAATACATATACTGGGTGCCTGGGTGGCTCAGTGGGTTGGGCCGCTGCCTTCGGCTCGGGTCGAGATCTCGGGGTCCTGAGATCGAGTCCCGCGTCGGGCTCTCTGCTCGGCGGGGAGCCTGCTTCCCTCTCTCTCTCTCTCTCTCTCTCTCTCTGCCTGCCTCTCTGCCTACTTGTGATTTCTGTCAAATAAATAAATAAAATCTTAAAAAAAAAAAAAAGAAAAGAAATACATATACTGGCAACAGGTCTTTGGGGAGAAGGACGATATACGACCGTGAAGCTGGGCAGCTGGGGATGCCCTGCTGGGTCAGGGCGGGAGGCCGCCTGCTTCAGGGAAGCCGAGCACTCGGGAACACCCTGTCAGTTCAGGGTGGAACGAAAATCACCTGCTTCCCTTCTCCGTTATCGCTCCTTTCTCTTCCCAGAAGCACCCGTTGTTAGTTAGATGAGTCCTTTGAATGTGCTTGGTTAACTATAAACTTTATCCTCCTCCTCGCTTGTCCGCAAGACGTTTGACCTTCATCGGTCCTTCCGTTGGCTATTGTTTCTATCCAATGAAAGTGAGACTGTGGAGTTGCTCGTGGCAGCAGTCCTTTTCGACTGTTGTCCCCTGCTCCCAATCTCTTGCAGCTGACTTGTTTGTGCCTAATTCTTCTCTGGTCGCCGACTGGAAGCGGCAGCGGGGGCAATAAGGGAAGGAGGGGAGGGTTTGATCCGGCTGACCTGCCCAGCCACCTGAAGTTAGGATCTGGGCCTCAGACTGTCCCAGGGGACGATTACTTCTGATGGGCTCTTTGCTATCATAATCGCCCCCTCACCCCCGTGTCCCTTCCTTCACAGACTCATTCATATCCCCAACTCGGGCCAAAGGTTCACCTTCCAACAGGAAGCCCCCACCCGCACCCCACTCTGGCTGGAACCCTCCTTATTACATCAGACTCTGATCCAATGGAAGGCAGGATCACAGAAGGTCCCCTGGTATCTGTAAGGTGCCCTTACCCCAGGCCCTCCACTCACCACCGTAAACA